CTGTTGCTTTTTTAAACGCTTATTTTTGCTGTATCGTTAATGGTGGGTCGCTGCCCCTCCGGGAGGGTGACAGCTGCGTGAAGAGCTAACTGGACCGGTTCTATGAGGTCTTCCCGGCGTTAGGCACAGCCTCGGTGGTGGCGTGTCCCACACCAAATGTTGCTGACTTCGACGCTTCTTTCTAAGTCATCGCGCCCGACGGTAACTTGGGACGCAGCTCAGGAGAGAGCCGTGGGGCCGAGAGCCACAGTGACGCGGGTTCCCCTTCGGGAAGGGAGGTCGCCGCTTTGGCTTCTCCGTCTGCTGGGCAAACTGGATTTAACGGCGTGCCACGGGTTTGGCTGCGTGGAGCGGCTGCCTCCCGTCCCGCCGGGGAAAGGGGCAGCTCCATCGCCGCGTTTTGCTCCCTCGCGGGTGGCGTGAGCGCGTTTGGGAAGAGCAAACGCAGAACTGTGACAAAAAGTTCGAAACGCCTTGGGCTCTTGTCAGAGCGAGGTGCCTTTAGCGATATAAAGTGCTTTTAATTCCCTCGACGAAGCACCGTGGAAGGCCGCAGTGCAACGAGTAGGTGTTCCTCGGTCAGTGCTATCACGCCGTCTGCTTCTTGGTTTTGTTCGAATGCTCTGATAAGCAGGGCTCTCCGTCTACCTCTGCACTGTGTTTGTTTTAACATTCCCGATTCTTGCCTCTCTCTGTCCTGCCGTCCACCGAATGTCTCTTTATCAGCGTTTTATCTGTACTTAAAAATATTCCCAATTTGTCATTATTTGCGGCGCACGGAAAGGTGACTGAAGGGATTTGACATTTAATTCGTCATGCAGGTGAAAGACTTCAGGTTTTTACACGGCGTCAAAGAAATTCTGAAAACCCGCCTGTTTGTAAACATCCCCTTCAGCACTTCCGAAATATTTACTGCTGTTGTACCTAGACCACGTGCTATCGGTTACAGAAACTCCCGCCCGGCAGAGGCGCTTCACAAAACAGCCTCTTGTAAAAACAGCGTGCTCGCCGAGCAAGGAGAAACGGCGAGGATACCTTTTATCCCAGGATCTGAAAGTGTTTCAGGGGGAGCTTTACGACTCCCTGTAAAGTGTCCCAGCCGGAGAGAGGGGGAAATAGCAGCTCGGGGTCTGCTGGTGACAGCAGGAGCGCCTCAGCCCCTGGGGGCCACGGAGATGCGGCTCCTCCAGCAGCCCCCAGGCCCTGCTCCCGTAACGCCACGAGATGTGTTTGCGAACGTCGCTCTGCAGGGTTTCAACCAAAACTTTAAGCTTTTACGCTCCTTTCCTGACTTTTCCTATGAAGCACGGGGCACGCTCTCATCCACGGCGGAACTAAAGCGCTGCTGGGACTCGCAGGCACTAGAATATGCCCAAAAGTGGCAAAACTTCCTCTGACCTGCAGCGTGGAGCAAGGCGTGTGGCGTTCCCTGTGCTGGCAGCTGCCAGGCCGGAGCAGGAGCACGTGGGTTACCTTTAAAACACGTTTCTGCAGAGTAAGGCACTAACGTAACCGGCTCTGCCGCGCTGGTCCTGCGCTGCTGCCAGCTCCTGTGCCCAGCAAAGTCTTTCAACTGCTCCGTACCTCTGGTCCTGCACGTCCGCAGCGCTGGCCCCTGCTCCTTTGATGTGCTGTCTCTCCTGTCTCCCGAGTAATTTCCAAACCTGTTTCTGTAGCTCTGACTTCTCCAGAAGGAATGTGGGAGAGCGGTGTTTCTGCTTGGCTGCTTTGTTTGACAGACCTCGGTCTGCACAGGCAGCTGGCTGAAGCTGCAGCGCTTCACCTGCGCAAGCCCCGACGTACGTTCCTTTGCTCACGCTCTCTGTGAAAACGTTCTCAAAAACAGAATAAAAATTAAAGTGGGATTTCTGCCTGTCCACAGTCCTTCTGGTGAAGAGCCGAGTCGAGGGTCTTGTTCCCTCGTAGAAAACGGAGATCTTTCCGCCAGGGTGCCGTGTGGTGAGGGTTGGTGTTGGATTTAAGGCTGTTTATCGTTAATATGCTTCAACAGCTCCGTGTCTGTGTTTGAATTAAGGGGTCCTGCGTGCGGTGGTTGAAGCGGCGAACTCCGGAGCGTCAGTTCTCTGCCTGTGCGAGAAGGGAGACGCCATGATCATGGAAGAGACTGGCAAGATTTTCAAGAAGGAAAAAGAAATGAAAAAAGGTGAGGCCTGCTCCAGAGATTTGGGTTTTTTTCAGCGTGGCTGTGGTTTTTGGTCCCATTGGGGGGCACAGAAAGCGCTACTCTGCGCTAATTAGCGTAAGAAATCATTTGCAGTTCCCAGAAAGCCAATTTTAACCCAAATCCCCCTGCCTGCTCTGCTGGTAAGCATCACCGATGAGCCTCAGCTTCCCGTTTCGAGGCACCCGATCACCCACATTGTTGTCCAAAGTAACTCTTGCTTCAGCGTCCTCCCTTCAGGAAGACCTGCGGTACGGTTATCGCTCCTCTGTAGCGGCTGTGGAAGTTGGGTGACACTCGAGTGTGTCACCGAGAGCTCCCTGATTTCAGTTCTGGTCCCTTTCGCAGGTGTCACGCTGCCTCGGATGCATTTCTTCTGACAGTTGCCTGGGCAAAAGGGGAGCCGGGGCAGGAGCGGACCGGGCGCTGCGTTCCTCCTGGCTCTTTGGCCAGAGCCTTGTGCAATGGGGCGTTTTACAGCGCTCCAAAAACTTCAGTCCGGAACGACGATCCCCACTGGCGGGGCTGCTGCCCGTGCCGGCTGTGCAGCTGCACAATTTCATGGAGTGTTTTTTCTCCCTTTATAGGTATTGCCTTCCCAACGAGTATATCGGTAAATAACTGCGTCTGTCACTTCTCCCCCCTGAAGAGTGACCAAGACTACATCCTCAAAGATGGAGACTTGGTCAAAATGTAAGCATCTCAGTTACGCTTCTCTTGAGTTTCCTGTTGCCACCAGGGCTTTGCTTTCTAATCCTGCTTGCTGTGTTAAATACTGCCTCGGCGTGGCTAATTACAGAACTTAATAGCTAGTCAGGTGAAGCGCTTGAAACACGCATGAGTCTTCTGATACTTCCAGAAGTCACACAAGTTTCCTGAGGTGCGATGCCCCACCTGTAATTAACTCTCTTTGTGTTGCAGTGACTTGGGAGTCCACGTCGATGGCTTCATAGCGAATGTAGCACACAGTTTTGTCATAGACGCCTCAAAGGTAGGTTTGTAATGGAGCGGTGTCTCCTGCCGCTGCTGCTTTACGTGCGCTCTAAAGGAGAGACTGAAGAGCCGATGCTCGCGTGCCTCTGGTTCCCAAGGCAGCAGCAGCACGGAGCCTCCGAGCGGTGTCCGCTTCGTTTCGCAAAAGCGCTGCAGGCCCGGTGTCCCAGCAGGGACTGAAAACAGCCCCTTGCCTAAAAATTTCTCGGTCCTCTGGAAAACGAGGGCTGACGCGCTGTTTCAACATGTGCCGTTTTGCACGGGTACAAATAATTTGAGACAAACCACGTGTGAGTGGCGCTGCAGTGAGTTATTTGCATGTAGAGCATCTGGGGCTGTGGGGCGGACTGGTTTTGCTGCCCCCTCTACTGGCCGAGGCACAGGGAGCCGAGCGCCGCACTGCTGGGAGTTGCTGCCTTCACCTTTGCTAACTGAACTCAGGGGCAACTTGTTCTTCGAACCCCAAAACGACTCCCTGCTGCCCGCTTCTGCCTGAGCACGCCAGCAGGGACTTCTCTCGCTCGGGGCCGATTGCAGCGTCCAGCCCCGGCGCGTGGCGGCGAGGACGCCACCGTGGCACGTGTGGTTTGGTCGGGCATTTGGGAAGCGACACTAAGCCACGCCCGCGCGGCGGGAGTTACCGCTTGTGTGCGTGAAGTCGTCACGTAACAAATTTCTAGCTGTAGTCTTGGGAGGAGGATGGCGGGGTGAGTCTTGGGAATGGTTTCTCTCCCGTGGCTGTGTCTGAACGGCTTGATGGGGAGAAGACAAAAAGATCTTTTGAAGTCCACTGAAATCTTTCCAGTCCACGCTTCTGGCTACAGGAGAGTTTTGTTCTGTTTTCAGTCTTTGACGGCGATGCGCTTGTACTAGGGTGTCTCTGTTGAAACTCGTGAGAGAGCCAGTTTGATTGTGGCTGACACTCATTTGCTCTTAACGGAGAAGAGACTAACGATGGAGCTGTGAAGCCAGAAGCCCTTCCACCTCTGAGCTGGATTTCCCCGTTTGCTCGGGCGGAGGGTGTGCAGTTAGACGGAGAATCTCCATCTCCAGACACTCAGAACGGGGTTCTTGCTAATAAGAGGGAAGGGAGCGTACCTTAAAAAGCCTTTATTTTTCTGTTCTTCCAGGAAAACCCTGTGTCAGGCCGTAAAGCTGATGTCATCAAGGCGGCTCATCTCTGTGCTGAAGCTGCTCTGCGCTTGGTAAAGCCTGGAAACCAGGTGAGGGACTGGCGTGGGGGAACGTAGGCATGGGCAGGGGGCGAGGGGCTCGAGTACCGACGCTGCCTCTGCCACGCTTCACGCGTAGAAATAAAAGCGGGTGACCTTGCCTGGGAAGAATTGCCCAGCGATGTGGGGAATCTGGCAGCAGCTGTCTGCAGACAGCTGAGGCGCTGCTGGGGTGAGCAGCGGCCTGCTGGGGCGGGTGGCAGCGACTCTTCTGTCAGCAGCTCTGGCTTCCCCGCGGGACCCGAGCTCTCGCTTGTGCAACGGTGGCTTCGCAGAGAAGCCTCGGTGCTCCCGCTCGCCAGTGCCCTCCTCGCTGAGGGCAGCTGGGCACGCACAGCAACTCCGCCAAACAGCGCTCCGTAAATCTCCCGCTCGCGCCTCTCCCTCGCCTGGTGCTCAGGCACCTCAGCAGTCGTAGACGATCTCCTTCGTTGCTGTCTTACTATTCCAAACGTATTTGTGTCGCTCTTCCTTCCCAGCGTAATCCCCTAAAGAGGGGTGGCGTGCAAGAAGGCACCGGGCGCAGTGCAGGAGGCTGAGCTGACCTCACGTTACTGTCAGTTTTGTTGATAAGGATTAAAAATGGAAGCCTGACACTGTTTCTCCTTTTTTTGGAGGTGTTGGAGCACCAGGCAGTTAGAAAACCTGCTGGTTTTATCACAGAACATTGTCAAGTTAAAAAAAAAACTCTCATACTTGTGGCTTGAATTTTGTATCCTTAGTGTGTTTTCATGTGTTCTTCATCCAGAACACACAAGTGACAGACGCGTGGAACAAAATCGCCCACTCGTTTCACTGCACGCCGATCGAAGGTAAGGACGGGGGAGCGGCGGATCGGAGGTAGCGATGTTTTAGCTGCGCGCTAAGTCCTGAGCTGCCCCATTCAAATTCTGGGAAGCATTTAATGACTAGGAGCCCTAGGTGTGCCGTCTCTAAAGGCAGCAGCCTTTGCTAAAAAAAAAAAATCCCTTCGAAACTCTCTATTCTCCTTCCTTCCTCTTTTTTTTTTTTTATTTTTAAAGATGCCTTAATCTAGGAACAATAGACGCGGGCTTCCCCAGCTGGTAGGTAGTGTCCTGGCTCCTGGGCCTCCTGCTGACCTTGGGCAAATCGCGTGGCCCTTTGCTTTCATACTTGGCCACTCGGAGTTAAAACCCCTTTAGCGAATACACAGCAGAACTTGTTTGTCATGCAAGGGCCACTGCAAAAGCAGCCCATAGATGCGCAGGGTATGTAATTTCCTTCCTCGCAACTCTAAACTGATTCACGCTCTCCTCGCAGCGTTGATAACGGGCAAGGGGGAGGGCGCTGGGATGGCTTCTGATAGAAGCGCTTGTCTGGAAGGTGGTGAGAGAGCTTAGCCTGACGTTTGGCACAGGCAGATGCTTTTCTCCTAGGCGGTGACATCACTGTCGAACGGTTCTTTCAGCCACAATGACATTGGCCCTTTATTAGTTAAATTTCCTGAAATCCTGTAAAGCTGGCTCATTCTCTTCGCTCGCCTTAGCCCAGTTGTGGAGCGTCGGTTCCCTGTTCCCTGTGTGGGATGGCTTTGTGGGTCTCCCCAACGCTTTGCTCCTTTCTCTGTGAAAAAACGTGGCATCAGCTGCCGTGAGGAGGCGGCCGCTCGCGCTGTCGAGGGAGTTTAAGCAGCCACTGTTTTGGAAACAGTCGAGTGCCGT